ACACACACACACACACACACACAAACAAACCGCTTTTGGCACGGTTGTTTCACTCTCCTCAGGCTCCAGAGGCTTTCTAGAAACCTGGGGAGGGCGGAAACAGCCCCCCGACCCCCCCGGAAGCCCTCTGGAGCAAAAAAGGACCTATGGGGAACCCAGAAGTTCAGGAATGGTGACTTCCGGTTTGTCCATAGGGCCGATTTTTGACTTCCGGAGCCTTCAGGAGGTTGCTCTGGAGGGTGAAAATGGCCCTATGGACAAACCAGAAATCACTTCTGGTTTGCTCGTATGGCCGGTTTTTGCCCTCTGGAGTCTTTAGGGAAGCCTCCTGAAGGCTCCAGAGGGCGAAAAACGACCCTACGGCCAAACCGGAAGTCTGTGGAAAATGCCCTCAAAAGAAGGCTGGTCAGCTGGCTGGAGCTGACATGGCTCCCCATGACACCTGTGGCACACGTTCTATAGGTTCACCATCACAGGTATAGAGTCTCCTGAAGGATTAGAAGGCAAATGATGCTTCTTGCACAGTTTTTCATTTAAAAAATCTAAACTATCCTTTAATTTTCTCAATTTCCCTTTTAGGAAAACACACTGCTCTTTAAGCACACATTTTTTCTGCTTGCTTTGATCAACAGTTTACACATGACTGTGATCAGGTAACTTGAAAGAGCATATTGTTATATAGCATTGTTTAAAAAAGACATGGAGTTTATTTAAGACACACATGCGCACAAAGCTCAGTAGGACTCCTTTCCCTCCTTACTAATTAGAGAAGCAATTAAAATCTTTTAACAAGAAGCAAGCACACTGACTTCCACACTTAGTTAAGTGTTATTGCTTTAGAGCATTCTTCACCCATACTTACTCATTCCCTCATGCAATTAACTCAACTTACTGATGAAACTGGGAGCTGGCCATGCATCTTGTTCAAGGGTGTAAGGATTTTCTATCCAAAGAGGAAAATCTTTAATTTCACGTACGATTGCTAGGCCAATTGTATTGTCCAACTCTGATATATAAGATGGTGTGTTATGTATTTACTTCAACAGTCANTCACCACAATGTAAAAAAGATGTTGAGACTCTAGTAAGAGTGCAGAGAAGAGCAAAAAAGATGATTAGGGGACAACAGATAGGATTAGGATAAAACATAAAGAATGGTTGCTGGAACTGGATATGTCTAGTCTTATGAAAAGAAGGACTAGGGATGATATGATAGCAGTGTTACGATATCTCAGGGGTTGCCACAAAGAAGAGGGAGTCAAACTATTCTCCGAAACACCTGAAGGTAGAACAAAAAGCAAGGGGTGGAATATAATCAACAAGAGAAGCAACTTAGAATTAAGGAGAAATTCCTTTAATCAGTGGAACAAATTACCTCCAGAAGTTGTGAATGCTGCAACACTGGAAGTTTTAAAGAAGAAATAAGATAACTATTTGTCTGAAGTAGTGTAGGGTTTCCCGCCTAAGCGGGGGGGGGGGGTTGGACTAGAAGACATTCAAGGTCCCTTCCAACTCTGTTATTCTATTCCATTCCACTCCACTCCACCCCACAATCTACCTCATCCCTATTCCAAAAAAGGATTATATGGAAAATCAAGAAACTCACCTTGTGCAGTAGTATTTTACTATATAAACATGCATGATAAACTAAATCTATGAATGATCTTTGGAGAGCATTAACTTCTACATTTGTATGTTGAGTTAGGTTATAACGTTAAGTGTTTCTTAATTCAGTTTCCATACTGTTTTTAAAAATTATTTCAATTCTTTGATAAAAGTAATAAATTAAAAAGATGTTTCTAGTTTACATTTTTTGGAAATGCAACTGGTCAAGAACTCTTATGGCAGCAGCATTATTGTGTGACACATTGCCTTAAAGCTTTCTTTAATGAAAAACCCTTTCCTTTCCCTGTGTTAGGATTGTCTGCTTAAAATGACCTTGCCTTTTCTTTCCCTTTGTTTGCCTGATTCAGTTTTCATATCATGAAGCATGAAGCTATAAACAGCATAATTCTGATTCTTCAGGATTTAAAATGTTCCCAGCCCATTATATTGCATGAGGTTATGTTCCAGTGGTAGACCTACTTAAAAAAAAAAAAACCCCACTGACACATTCTTCAATTAAGAAACTGCCATGTGCATGGGCTGGCTTTGTTGGCAATATGCAGCTACAGATTTGAAAAGTAATTAGCAGGAGACTAACAATGGGTCTATCCATTTGGTTTTCTTGGTAGCAATTCCTAAATGTTTTGCCACTGAGTTTTCAAAATTCTCAATCTAACCTGTAGCTTTGATGTATCATGGTGGTTGCTCAAGAGATTTTTAACTCATTGCACATTGATCTAATCCTATCCCTTCATTCTCGTATCCCTTTGTCCTTTCAGGCATTGAAGAATTAAATTGAGATTGACAACCTTCCTTCTCCTTGGACTGTTTATTGATATATTTGCTCAGTCAAAAAGTGGTTGGAGATTTCTGCCTTTCCTGCCAGAAGACTGAGGATTGATTTGGCTTTCAAGAGACTTCCCAAATTGAATTCAATAGTTTTCTGAGATGTGTGTGTGTGGAGAGGGTGGGGGGTATCAGTGCAGCACCTATATTTTTTTATTAGTTGAGCAGTAGCCAGTTTGTTTGTAGACTTGTATTCCAGTAGACTTGCAGAAATTAATTTGCGTATCATGTGGTTTCATTCCTGTTTAACCTAGTTTACAATTTCTGGCATGTTTTCACTCTCAGAGTCTACTTGTAAGGGATTCGTGTTATGTATATCAAAGTTGCACTCTTTGCTCCATCGCTCTCAAAGGACTCATTCCAGGCACCACCCAACCAGTTTTTTCTCACAGTTGGAAAAGATTGTTCAATACAAAACTTGCAGCCTTGCTACAATGGTGGCTGCAGATGAACATTTTAGCCCAGGAGTTTGTACTTCTAAAGCTAGGATTACATTTTCTAAAACATTGATTGTTCATAGCAGTTTTTCTGTCTTCTAAGCCAGTCACTTTGTATTTTCCATTATCTTGATGTTCCCTCATTCTAAGCATTCTCACTTTCACAGCAGGAGGGAAATAACAATATTTTTTCTCTTGTTCCCAATTTTCCAGAGAAGCACCACTGTATTTCCTAAATGTTACACAAGCACTGAAAATTATCTTTTGCTTTCCTCGGCTCTTCAAATATCTTCTTTTCTGTTCATTAAGATGAGGACAAGAGATTGGTTAGTCCTGCTTCAAAAACCTCATTTGAATAGTAGCACAAAACATACTTTTCAAAGAATTGGTAGCCCTTGCCCTCATCTTTCATATTCAGTTTTACTTGTATCCCTCTGATTTCATGAATTACTTTTATGTAAATGTCAAAATTGTTCTGATTTTAAAACATTCAGTTTCTGTACAAAATCCTAATAGAATAATATATTAGACTCACAGATCTATCAGTGGTAAAGTACTATAGTATTGTTGCTGCTATTATGTTAAAGTGCCTTGCTGGAACTTCGTTGCTTGTAATAAATCATTCTAAAATGTCTGTTTATTGTTCCAATATAAGAATATGAATAATTTATTTGTATAATATTATAAACATTGAAACATTTTACTGAATCTTACTTCTGCTACAGGTAGACTGTTTTGAGTTTCACCACTACACGTACTCTATGGCTTATTTTACAGCTAGTCTTGCCTGTGACACTACACTGCATTTTACATTGGAACTATCCTTGAAAATTGCCTAAAGATTACAGTTGGTACAAAATGATGCCAAATTGTTCTTCTGTTTTCTGAGCACAGCATAAAATAGTAGTGCTGTATTTTATAATTAAAGCAGAGTAAGACCCATTTGCAGAACAGTCATTACAAACTTAATTACACAAGTAAAGGCTTTCATGATTTTCTTCCTGCCGTCAGTGGTTTTTAGACATGCAGGAGAGATACTTTTTCTACATTACATCCATCTTTTGAAATAAACTCCTTTGAGAATGTTTGGCATACTGTAGTTTGATATTTGTCAAACCTAACTTTCTATGAAAAGGGTTTTTCCATGTGAATATGTACACATGCATACAGGTATAAGGCAGATATAGGTAGTCAGATAATTAAATTTAACCAATAATTACCATTTTAATTAAATATTAGTGTTTTTCCCAACAATTTATAGTGTTTAAATATTTTTTCCTACATGCTGTCAATGAGAACAAAACCGAAAAGGTAATAGAAATGTTTTATGGAATGAAAGGAAATGAGATAAACTAAGCATTTTTGGTAAGATTGAGTCCTTATTTTTATTTAATATGTGGTCCCAGCCCTGTTCTTAGCCAATTTATAGTAAGTGCTGCTGCCATTTCAGTATTTTTTTTAAATCACTCTGTACTGGTATAAGTATCTAAGTAAATAATTAAAACTCCAAAGCAATAGCATGAAAGCACTCATTAGTCTTAAAGCACTTTGAAAAACTTACTGCCATTAAAATTCTACATTGTGTAATCAATATTTATACATTATATAATACAGTCAGAAGATTACACTTTAACATTATGAGAAATGTTTTTAATATTAAGATATAATTGAAGTTCTCAAAAGTATTATACACAGTCCCTTAAGAAGATTCCTTTTAAACCTCAAAAGCCACCTTAAATTCAAGTCCCTCTTGATCTCAAATTGATTTTTTTTCAATTTAAAATTTTGTTAATTAAAATATAAAATACAAAGAAAAATGAAAAGAATGGGAAAGGAAGAAAAGAAAAGGGAAGAAAAACATTGACTTCCAACTTTTTTTAGTGTAGTAAAGTAATAGTGTACAGCCTCAACCTTTTACTCTTGCATGATATACATAGTAGCCATTTCTATAACAATAAACATATGTAATCAACAGAACCCAAAGTCAAAATTTCATTTTCTTCCCCCTGAAGCATGAAGTCCAGAAGCAGTTTCCAAGTAGAAACAAATTTCTATTCTTAATTAAAGCAGTCAATTTAGCCATCTCTGCTCACTCCACCAGCTTTTGCAGCCACTCATCCATTGTGGGAATTAAGGAATCTTTTTATTTTTATTCATAGATCATTCTTGCTGCTGTCAAATTGAAATACAATTTTCTTTTATTCGCTGGAGGGAGGGAATACATTTCTTTCACTTCTCTTTCAATTTGTTAAATGCTAATACAGGCTAATTCTACCCATCTTATTTTCACTCTAGTGGATCCCCTCAAACAAGGATGTATCGCCTGCACAAATTGATAGCCTCTTTTGTGGTTTGCAACCAGCGTTATTGGCTTCTGATCCTGGGATTTTGCTGGGAAAGTTGTACTTTCTCCTCCCAGTATTATGGAAATTAGCTCTTTTGAGTATATAATCAGATAAAAATGCACTGCCTCTGACATCTGCAGCTCTATGATTATAACTTTGTATTCTCAGATCCAAGAATTGTTTTTTTATTTAATACTCAAGTTTTCCTTAACTTTAATTTTTCTTTCATATTCATTGCTCTCCCAGAAAGAACTGACTCTTAGAGGCTTAAAAGGAAATGTCCAGAGAATGTGAGTGCTTGGGATCCTGTGAATTTCTAACATCATCTAACAAATGTCTACTTTGGGACCATTGCCTACCTAGGACCAGCAGTCTAACCATGGGCCAATAGGAGCTAGCTGGCACACCACATCGTATCTTTTCTTTCCTTCCTATCAGAAATTCATGGAGATATTGAAAGTTTGAAAAAAAAAGTCCAACTTGAATTTTAAAAAATCCATTTGAACATCTACCATACTTCAAAAATTGGTATTTGCTAATCTAGAGGCCCAGTTTAACATATTCTGGCACAAAGGGCATAGTAAAAGTTGGCATTTAATTTCTCTATAATATGTAAGAGTTGATTCCAAGTGTCATCCTGGATACCACTATAATAGTGCTTCATACAATCAATACTTGGAAAAGAAATTGGACTAATTGGAGGACTGTAATATGAGTTCACTACCCTAAAAATCTGCAATATTTTATAGCTCAATAGCTATATTTAGAATTTTGAATACATATATTCCACAAATGGCATCAGTCACAGCAAAACAGAAAACACCTATTTCCTAGAGAATGAGGTTAAATTGTCCTGGGCTTATTTTAAAAAACCTTGTTTATATTTGGTTATTGCCATAATAAATTGTCAAGCTAACCACACTGTTGCAAACTTAGCCCAAATTTAGCACATATGACTTACCAAAATGGCAGCATCAGAAACAGCAGGCAAGATACGTCAGAAGATATGTCAAATTCAGAAATGTATTTGTGGCAGAGAATTCTATCCATGAATTCTTTCATAGAATATTCCATTGGCTTTATACCAAGCCCAGATTGAGTATTTACATCCCTAAATACTAACAGTTGTGTGCAGCTGGGCCTAACCTTGTCCAACTTCTCTCTTCTGATATAATCTATGCTCAAGAAGGTGTTATTGAAGACTAGCTGAGAAGATTCCTGGTTTGGGGTAGTCAACCAAGTCCAGGGCAGGACAGAAATGATAGGATTGCCCAGCATCACACTGGGTCCCCTCAGCCTAAAAAATGCTTCCTGGTGGCTCTCTTTCTTGTCTGAGGAGGAGTGCTCTTGAGTCAGGATCAGGATATGAAAGAAGTAATCTTTGCAATCCCCAAGCCATTTCTCTGCCTTGATATCCTTAAGATGCCCAGAATTCTTACCATACAAGTTTATGGGATCGGGATCCGGCCAAGACCCAAGGGTCCACCTTGCCTTTTCCTGGACCGCCTCTAACATTGAACCCTGATGCAATTAAGGACTCAGATTGGAGGCAAACCCCCACTTTTAATCCTTTTCCTTCTCCTTTCCTTCTTTCCTTTCTTTTCCTTCCCTGTTCCTTTCCTCTTTTTCCCCAAGAAAAGTTGGGGAAAAATTGCTCCTAATAAAGTTCCTTCCTTTATTTCCACCCACACCGCCGGCAAGCAGTTAAGAAGGCGGCGGCGGCATCATGCCCTGCAGCAACTCCGCTGCCAAGGGGACAGCCGAGGAAGCGCTCCGCCCTGAGGCGGCTCAGGAAAGCGAGTGTGGGAGCCCGACTTTGGCGTCCGCCAATCCGAATCGACGAGGAGGCGCTGCAGCGCAGGGAGCGCCGCTGGTGGCCCTTAAGGCTGCTTTCTGGCTGCGCATCTAACGGGATCGAGAGGCAGCGGACTGAGGTAGCAGCAGGCACGGGAAGACAGCAGCGCCGCGTAACGTAAAAAAGTGGGGAGCAGAGGAAGGCGGGAGAAGAAAGAGGGGTGAGAGGATGAGGGGGGGCGGGAGAGGAAAAAAGCGGAGTCAGGAAAGATGAGGATCCGCGCACAATTTGGGGCGGGGGTTTAGGGAGAGCTGCTCCCTCCCTCTGGGCGGGGAGGCTGCGTAAAGAGGGCATCACTCTGCTCGCTTTGCCAGCCGCGGAGACACAGCGCAGCGCCGCCGGCACTTGCTCCAATGGCGCCACTTTAAACCGAGCCGCTGCCTCCGTGACTAAGCAAAACCTGAAGGGTGTCGAAGCGGTGTGAAGGGGGGGGGGGTAAATAAAAATAAGCACCTCTTCGTTCTGCTTCTGAGGCCCCCTTGAAAACTTATTTTAGGCTGGCTTACTGCTGACGGAAACGCCTGCCCTTATAAAAGAAAGGCGCAGGGTACGAGCCTGAATAACTTGGGTGCCAATAACAACCAAGGTTAGAGGTGAGCTTCAGTGGGAACCTAAATATCCCAATCGGCCCTAATCCTACCGCTCCTGACCCCTTTAACCTTCTTCTGGCCTTTTAGTTTCTTTTACATAAAAGTCACCACAACTACTTTCTGATTGCCCAGCATTGACTTTTCCCTGGTTCTTTTACAGACTTGCCTGCCTCCTTGATCTGCTATGAGCAGGGTGCGGTTAGTTCTGGACAGGACTTAGCAGTGCTGTGAATGGAGCCTCACAAAGTAATCTCTGCCTTTTGATTCCTTTTGGGAGTATGCATTGATGTTTGGCTTCTGCGGAAGTGACTTGTCGTTTAACTGAGTACTGATAAGTTTTAAAAAAGGTAAGGGGCAGAAGTAAAGTTTAGTTAAACCAGGATTTAGGTTTGATTATTTGTTTTGGTTTGGGGGCTGAGGCAGCTGCAATAAAGCTAATAGGAAGGACTCTGAAGAAAAAGTGTGTTAAGTGTGTATAAGTGATATACAATATTTAGTATTAAGATAAATTCAGTCTTATTAGATCCAGTTTCTTGGATTTTGTACTCTCTCTCTCTCTCTCCTCTCTCTCTCTCCCTCCTTCCCTCCCTCCCTCTCCCTCTCCCCTATCATCTAGGTGGGGAAATGCATTATATTTGTTTTGATTTAGTTACTTTTCAGGATAACACTACTAACACTAGAGTAGTTTGGGGCTACTCTAGGTGACTTATAAAAATAAAAAGGGAAAAAATGGGAAAACTGTAAACAGAACAGAAAGTAATAGAATAAAACAAATAATGAAAAAGAATAGATCAGTGAGAATACAGCAATGATACCTACAACGATGGATGGTGGAAAGCAGAGA